TTTAACTGACTTCATAAATTCCCAAATGTTGATGTATTCCAAAGTTTGAGCCATCTTCAAGCAACCCAGCTTATTGAACAATCTGAACCTAGCCACTCAGAGTCACAAATAAATCTGTCAATCCACTTGCCTTCCACCCTAGAATCCCCCCGAGAGTATTATACCCAGCATACTCTATCAATAAACTCATTAAAATCATTCATACTCATACTCCTTGTAGAGCAACCAATCATTTTCCCTAATTGCCTTATTTCATTAAAATCTCTCCCCATGCACCAAGGTTTAAAAAACACATATTTGACCGTAAAAATTAAATCCCATAGCTCCCTTCTTTTCACTTTTCTCCCCAACCCTCTAATATTCCATGACATAACAATCTTTATTAATCAACAATTAAAACACCACTAACAGCCAGTAAAATAGGGGCTTACCTGGCAGACGCCCCTCTCCTCGAAACCAGATTCTCAACATCCTTCTTCTCCGTCTCTACGATCTTGTTGATAGTTGTATCTTCTTGGCCTTCAAAATTGATACCCAGGAGCTTCCCCATTTGACTGTAGCCTGGGCTTCATTTAGCAGAATTTGACCTCTGCTTACTCTTGCTTCAGATGATGCCACCAAAGACACAGGCGCAGTCATTGCCCTGAAGGTTACTCCTTTTTGTGGTTTCTTTCTCTAATTTCTACCCATCACACTATGATCCCTCACCACTCCAACAACTTTCTCCACCATGAGGGGAGGGATCTCTTACCATTAGCCTTCATCTCATCTGTTTTCTTATTTTTCTGGGTTTTGCATATCACCAATTGACTAGCTCTTTTCCCTCAAGACTGCAAGCTGCAAGAAATTAATACTGCCACCGTCTTGAACTCTTGATTAATCTTCTGATCTGACTCAAATGTTTGCAAAACTAGATTGCTACCACCCAAACGTAGTTGAACCTCATTATATCTGCTATTCATTAACAGATATTGCAAGTCTCCCAAACTACTCAAGTGTTTAAGTCTTAACATAATGCTCTTTCTTAGCCATTCACTTCCTTCATCTGAGACAACCGCTGAACTTATTTGATTCTCCACCTTACATCCTCCTTTTACTATGTCGGCATATGATCTCTTCCCCAGGTCATTAATCATAGTCATGTCCTCCAATCTAGACATCTCGACCTCCTTTGGATTGATTACCTTAGTCTTTCCATGTTTGGCACAAGGACCTTTGCCTCTATTGGGTTCATACCAACGCTTTTTAGTGAAGTCGACGAACTTAACTCTTAAGGTTTTGTCACCACACCACACTCCATCAAATTTCTGAACTGCAACCCCAGCCGCCACCTCACAATCGTATCTAACGAATCCAAACCATGTTCCCGCATTGCTTCTTTTGAATGCAATAAAGACGTGTTTGACAACTCCAAACATCATATACATCTAGAAAAATCCCTTTAGATTTATATCATATGGTAAGTTTTCGACAAAGAAGGTTGACAACCTTGTCTTCCCACTTCCTCCACTCCTTTGTTTCATTTGGTGAATTCTAGAAAAGAAATGAAGTTGCTGGAGAGTTCCAGAATGAAGAAGAGGAAGCCAAAATGAAGAAGAAAAGCTAGAGAAAGAGCTAGAAGAATGGAGAAGGTGAAGCCTCCATTGTTGACCGTTGAAGCTTCTAGAGAGACACGGTTTGTACACGGTTTGGGAAATCTATAAATAGATGTATTGTTAGATTGTTTTAGATAGAGTGGGAGAAAAACAACATCTTCAGGAGTGGGAGATTTCTAAGATAGTTGAGAGGTTTGAGAGTCAACAGAGAGTTGCTCTGTTTTGTTAGTCATTTGAGTGATTGAATAAAAGGAGTGTTTATTCATTATAATTCCTCTATTTGTATACTATCACAACCGGTATACATCTCTCTCACTACTCAACAGTGATATCAGAGCGAAAAGAGCCAGTTTGGTCCCAAAAAAATCAAGAACAGAGACGAACAAAGGAGTTTTTCAAATTTGCCCAGATTTCGAAGTTGTCAAAATCCAAATTTGATCACACCAGATTGAAGACAAGACGAGCACAGAGGAAAAAATCGTGTCGAAAACCAAGCCGCTGCCAGCCGCTGACATCACCTGATGTCACTATACAGAAATTTAGAGGAAATATTCCAGTGTTACGCCGTTGAGTTGCAACTGTGCATCAAGATCGTCCAACTTATTTGGCTTGATCTTAGCCATTCAAAGTCCAATTGCAACAATCTAATAATGCTTTCCAGCTATTTGGAGCATTCCATACACATCTGTATGGTCAGATTGTGCAAATTCTATATCAAAACTTACAGATTTATTATGGCAAGTGTGAGTATGCCAAATATTATTCACCAAGGAGAATTATGAGAATTGGAGCATTTAGATGAGAGTATTAACTGGCCTCACAAGAAGTGTGGGACTTAATAGATCAAGGATTTGAAGAGCCAGCGAGCATAGAAGATGAAGAAAGGCCAAGAGAGACAAAAAAAGCCGCATTGAGAGAGTCAAGAAAGAGAGATCGGAAGGCCTTGTGCCTGATATATCAAGAAATTGATGAGTCAAGTTTTGAGAAGATCTCAGCTGCAACTACTTCCAAAGAGGCGTGGAATATTCTTCAAAATTCACATCGAGGAATTGAAAAGACCAAGATGATTCGACTCCAGGTATTAAGGAGGGAGTTCAAACTATTGCACATGGAGGATAACGAGGCCATTTCAGAGTATTTTGTGAAGACTCTGGCCATTGTGAACCAAGTCAGACGGTATGGAGACAAGATGGAAGAAATTCGAGTAATCGAGAAGATACTTCGATCCCTAAGTTCAAAGTTTGAGCATGTCATCGTTGCCATAGAAGAATCGAAAGATTTCAACGACCTGACAGTTTGAAGAGTTGCAAGCAACATTGGAAAACCATGAGCAGGGGACAAACAAAGACTTCAGTAAGTTTTCTAGATCAAGCTCTTCAAGCGAGTATGACGTTCAGGAGGAACGAACAATAGCAATAGAGAACACCACAGAGCAGTGGTGGAAGAGGTCGTAGACAAGAGAGAAATGGTCCCAAGAGGGGGGGCAGAAGTCAACAAATGGTTGATAGCTCCGAACAACAGATGATTGCTTCGAGAGTTAGAAATCAACAGAGGGTTGACAAGAGAGGACAACAGAGGGTTGATCTATGAGGAAGAGGTTTTAACAGAGGACATGTATGTTGCTATAACTGCAATCAATATGGTCACTACAAAAATGAGTGCACAGAGGAGGGCAATGCTACAACTGTAGAGGGTATGGGCACTATAGTCATGAGTGCATGGACAAAGAAGATCAAGTACACTTTGCAAAGAATAAAGAGGAGATGATGCTCATGGCATACAGTGATGCTATCAGCAAATTAAGTTTAGGGGATGTTGAAAATCAAACTCAATTTGAGTTTGAAAATGGTGATTTCTAGAAAAGAGATGAAGTTTCTGGAGAGTTCCGGAATGCAGAAGAGGAAGCCGAACTGAAGAATAAGAACCAGAGGAAGAGCTAGAAGAATGGAGAAGGTGAAGCCTCCATTGTTGACCTTTGAAGCTTCTAGAGAGACACGGTTTGGGAAATCTACAAATAGGTACTGTTAGATTGTTTTAGATAGAGTAGGAGAAAAACAACATCTCCAGGAGTTAGAGATTTCTAAGAGAGTTGAGAAGCTTGAGAGTTAACAGAAAATTGTTCTATTTTGTTGAGTTGTTTGAGTGATTGAATAAGAGTGTTTATTCATTATAATTCCTCTCTTTATATACCATCACAATCAGTATACACCCCCTCTCTCACTACTCAACAGTTTCCACCCTCCCTTTTCCTCCGCCACGCCCGAAACATAAACTGATGAATTCTCTTTCAAACTCATTTGCGAAAATATTGATCAATGTACTTGTACAAAACATTTCATGAGGTTGCAACGTATCGAACTCAAAATTAATAGTCTATAGTAACCATATTACTAAAATTTTCAAAACTCTTCTTAATCATTTTTTTTTTAATTTAAATTTTTTATATAAAAAAAATTATGTGGGATTTATTTTTATTTTTTTTTAATTTACAGAAATTGAGGAGATCAGTGAGGAGGTAAAGCACACACCTCACTTACGGAAGACGGAGACACCGATATTAATTGCCACAAAGAATGGAATCACAGAAATAGTGGAAAGTATTCTGGGTATGGGCACTATAGTCATGAGTGCATGGACAACGAAGATCAAGTACACTTTGCAAAGAATAAAGAGGAGATGATGCTCATGGCATACAGTGATGCTATCAGCAAATTGAGTTTAAGGGGATGTTGAAAATCAAACTCAATTTGAGTTTGAAAATGGTGATTTCTAGAAAAGAGATGAAGTTTCTGGAGAGTTCCGGAATGAAGAAGAGGAAGCCGAACTGAAGAATAAGAACCAGAGGAAGAGCTAGAAGAATGGAGAAGGTGAAGCCTCCATTGTTGACCTTTGAAGCTTCTAGAGAGACACGGTTTGGGAAATCTACAAATAGGTACTGTTAGATTGTTTTAGATAGAGTAGGAGAAAAACATCTCCAGGAGTTAGAGATTTCTAAGAGAGTTGAGAAGCTTGAGAGTTAACAGAGAATTGTTTTATTTTGTTGAGTTGTTTGAGTGATTGAATAAGAGGAGTGTTTATTTATTATAATTCCTCTCTTTATATACCATCATAATCAGTATACACCCCCTCTCTCACTACTCAACAATTTCCACCCTCCCTTTTCCTCCGCCACGCCCGAAACATAAACTGATGAATTCTCTTTCAAAATCATTTGCGAAAATATTGATCAATGTACTTGTACAAAACATTTCATGAGGTTGCAACTTATCGAATTCAAAATTAATAGTCTATAGTAACCATATTACTAAAATTTTCAAAACTCTTCTTAATCATTTTTTTTTAATTTAAATTTTTTATATAAAAAAAATTATGTGGGATTTATTTTTATTTTTTTTTAATTTACAGAAATTGAGGAGATCAGTAAGGAGGAAAAGCACATACCTCACTTACGGATGATGGAGACACCGATATTAATTGCCACAAAGAATGGAATCACAGAAATAGTGGAATTTATTCTCGAACGTTTTCCGCTGGCCATGGACGACATGAACTGGGATGGGAAGAATATTTTTCTCTTGGCAATTGAGAACAGGCAACCTCATTTATACAAGCTCTTACTCGAGAAGATAATCAGAACCAGCATCTTTCGTGCAGTCGACAATGATGGAAACACTGCATTGCATCTCGCTGCAAAGCTAGGAAGTCGTTCATGGATCATCCCCGGTTTGAAAATGCAGTGGGAAATCAAGTGGTATCAGGTATGAAATATTAGTAATGTCAAATTACAAAAAAAATATTTCAGGATTTTAAGTCTCAATAAATCTTAATTTTTTAATTTTGTCAACTTAAATTTCAATTTTTTAATTTATTTTTAATTTAAACAATCTATTAGGTAAAACAGAATTAAAATGATATTTTGTTATTAAACTCAATAGAAAATGATATTTTAGATGTTTCTTATAAATCTGCATTAAGTTTAATGACTAAAATATTTTTTCTTATTAGTTTTACTTAACGAAAATAGGAGAATGACTTGAATTAAAAATAAATTAAATTATTAAGATTTAAATTGATAAAATTAAAAATTCAAAGATTATTTTTTAAAAGATTCAAATCTTCTTCTTTTTTTTTTCTCCAAAAAGTTGTATACGAATTTTTCTAGACAATGATGTTAATTAAACTGCTTTATGAGTTATTATAATAATAGTAGGTAATATAAAATAAATTTCATGAAAATCATTCATAAAAATGTTCCACTTTTAGATTAAATCACCCTTTAATTAGTTTTATGAAACTTTTCATGATGCGCAGTATTATTCTTATTATTATTTTTTAAATGCCATAAAATTTATTTTTAAATGTAAAAAATGTCATTGTAGTATTATTTTCCAAAAAAAAAAAGAATTATGTTTTTGTGCGACACAGTATTCTTCAAATAAACAGCAGAGAGAGTAAACCACATCATTTGTGTAGAAATTTTGTTGGGTAAATTAAAAAAAACTATATGGTATGTAATGTTTATATATATATTTGTGATATTAATTATGTAATTTTATAACTTTTATTATGTATATATCTGGTTCTAGTACATAAATTATTTTAAAGATAACCTATTTAGCAGGTTACCAAGCAGGTCACTAATATTAAAATAATAAATTATACTAGCTAGTAGCTATGGCATAACAGAGCTATAAATAAAATTTTGTAACAAATCCAAAAAAATATAGAACGATATCATTAATATGTGTAAAAGTTTAAAAAAATTATTAAAATACGTAACGGATCACAGAAATACGTAGCGTCACCATTAATATACGTAAAACTTACACTAAAACATCAAAAAAAGTTATTAAAGTACATAGCGGATGACTCAGTATCCTAAGATACCATAATCATAAATAATGAATTATACTTTGGTATAACTTGTGTGGTTTAACTCAAACCACTAGCTATGGCATAAAAGAATTATAAAATTTCGTAATGAATTCACAAAAGTACGTAGCGCTACCATTAATATGCGTAAAAAATTTAAAAAAATTGAAAAATTTCATTAAAAGTCGTAACAGATCATTAAATGTCATAACTCACCATATTCATAAATAATAAACTATATTTTGGCATAATTTATATGTTTTAACTCAAAAAATCACTTAGATACGGTGTAATAGAACTATAAAATTGCATAAATAATCCATAAAAATACGTAACACCACCATTAATATGCGTAAAAGTTTAAAAAAAATTATAAAAACAATTAAAAATCATAACAGATCAAGAAGTGTCCTGACTCACCACAATGATAAATAATTAACCATACCTTAACATAACTTGTGTGTTTTAACTATCGCGTAAAAAACCACAAAATTGCGTAACGAATCCACAAAAATGCATAACGCCGCCATTAATATGTCCAAAAGTTTTTTTAAAAAAAATAGAACTTAAAATTGCATAACAAATCTTTAAAGTGTCATAACACACTATAAACATAAACAATGAACTATATTTTGATATAACTTACGTGTTTTAACTCAAAAAACCACTAGTTATGGCATAATATAACTATAAAATTACGTAATGAATGAACAAAAAAGTGTAAAGCCACCATTAACATGCATAAAATTAAAAACAAAAATCATTAAAGTACGTAACTGATCATTAAAGTACGTAACTGATCATTAAATGTCGTAACTCATCATAAACATAAATAATGAACTATACTTTGGCATAAATTGTGCGTTTTAACTAAAATAGCACTAGATACGACATATAGAACTATAAAATTTCGTAACAAATCCACAAAAATACATAACACTACCATAAATATGCATTAAAGTTAAAGAAATTAGAAAAAAAAATCATTAAAATACGTAATGGATCATTAAGTGTTGTAACTCACTATAACGATAAATAATGAACCATACTTTGGCATAACTTATGTGTTTTAACTCAAAAAAACCGTTGTGTAAGGCGTAATATAACTACGAAAATATGTAACAAATCAAGAAAAAAAGTAACACCACCATTAATATGCGTAAAAGTTTAAAAAAAATTAGAAAAAAATCATTAGAGTACATAATTGATCATTAAGTATCGTAACTCACCATTAACAAGCATGAAAAGCAATACATTATCATATCTTTTACGCATTTTATTATGAAGAAACCACTAGATATCATGAAAAGCAATACATTATCATATCTTTTCCGCATTTTATTTTGAAGAAACCACTAGGTATGTTGTAACAAAACTACAAGATTTTTTGATAAATCCACAAAAATGCATAAATGGTACCATAAATTTTCATAAATGTTATTTTTTTTTTTTGGCGGGGGGAGGGGGGGTTAAATTACACTAACACCACCTGAGATTCATGTTTAATACAAATTCTCCCATCTTATTTGAAAAATTGCATTCCCTTGCCTGAGGTTTGTAATCTCATTACAAATTGCCCCGAGATTGTTGATGTCATGCCCTAAATTTTTTTAAATGACCATCTTGCCATTTTTCTTACCATTTATTCTTCCTATCATTATGGCTATATTCTATAACTTTCCGTTATTAAAATCTACCTGAACATATTCTTATTGAATGATGATATATAAACATAAATTTTATATATAATTTTTAAACACAATGATATAGCTACATGGTGACCTTACACCTTAAAACAAAACACCCATAAACATGATTAATATTTATAACTATAATATTTTTTGTATAAATTTTTACATATGAATATAATATTTTATTTTTATTTTCACCATCATTTTTTTTCTCGTCTATTCACTCACATTTATTACTGTATTATCAAATACCGCCATTTTTTTAAAATCTAACTAACCACCCAATCAAACTTGAAAGTACAAAAATACAATGCATATATATACTTTTAAACAAAAATAACATCAACAAAAATATACCCCACACCCTCATGGATTTTTTAGAAATAATTTTGAGTTTTTAATTTATATTTTTTTATTTTTAATCATTTTAGAAATATTTTAATCAATTTGTATTTACTTTTTAGATCAATTTAATCTACATATATTTAAAAAAGTATAAATTTTGTACAAAAAAACTTTTAAAAAAAAATCCATTGATTACAACAAAATAAGATAATGTACTGAATTCTTTTTTTTTTTTTTTTTTTTGTATTTTGTGAATTTCAAAAAATCACAAAATATTATACTTCTTAAGTATATCTAGATTGGGTATATCTTAAAAATAAAAATAAAAATGCTTAAATATTTAAAAAAATAAAAAATTCATTTTTTGTGTGAGTTAAACTAAGAAGATGATTGTTATCTCCCTTAAAATGACATTAACAAAATATCTTTATTATTTTATATGTATAAAGACTAAGGGGGCAAATATATCATTTTAATCTAACAGGGGGTAAGTGTTATTTTTCAAATGTGAGAGGGAATCTATATTAAATAAAAATCTTAGCAGGTGTCAGTGTAATTTATCCTTTTTTTGTAAAAAAAAAAAAACCATTAAAATAAATAACAAATCTTTAAGAGAAAATTTCATTTTAACCGGTGAACTATTAGTCAAAAATCAATTTAACCCTTATTATTTTAATAATATAAATTTTACACCTAAACTAATTAATTTTGGATCAATTTACTCCCACTGTCAGCTACAATCTATAATTAGACGGAAGTTTCCATCATGGCAACAAAACTTTATTAAAAATTTTATTTTGCCTCTCAAAATATCAATTAGACCTCGAAATATATATATATATATGTATATACACTTTAAATTTTAATATTTAATAGTAATTTTCATCCAAAAAATTAAATTTAAATATCTAATAATAATTTTCATCATTCAATATTATTTTCCAAATCAAGAAAAAAACTTCAACCTACTGTCAATCAATTACTCCTATTGAGATTAGTCTAGGAGATAAGGTAGCAAATACATTTGCTGTGAGAGAGAGAGAGAGTAGACTTCCAATTTTGGGCCCAATTAGTTTCTAAGACCGATTCATGGTAATTTGATGCTCAGAGACAATTTGAAATGAATCATATCTTTTGGGGAATTTTATTTTAAAATCCCTAATATTAGAATTTTATAAGATAAAGAACATGTAACATTTTTATAGTATTTGGAGTCCCTCAATATTTTCATAGATAAATTTTAACTCTTCGCAGAAAAATTTCAGATAAATTGAAATTTCTCTATTACGAGCTGAAATTTCTCTAATAATATTATCGAGCAATCTTAATTAATAAGAAAAAATATATTGGACATCTCTTATTACCTAAAGTTAGAGAGGGATGTTTCACTATTTTTTTTCTATTTTTTAATATTTTTTTCTATAAATGTTATTATTTAAACTTTATTTTTCACATCTTTTTAGATTAAAAAAAATATTATTAGATATTTAAATATATATATATATATATATTAGGGGTCTAATTGATATTTTAAGAATAGTTTGGAGGATAAAATGAAGTTTCAAAATAAGTTTTGGTGTCATGTCAACAATTTCCATCTGATTGTAGATGACAGTTGAAGGGTCAAGATTAATTTATTTTAATCCAATGATTTATACCTAAATTCCATATGGTATGCAATCCCTAAGGGGTTGCACATCCAAACACTACCCATTAAACTTTGCCCCTTCTATGTTTGGTCATTTTTTTATTTTAACCCTTGACCTTTTTTTCCCTTACTTAGGCCCTTTGTATTTCAATTTTTTATTTTCCAATTTACTCATAAAGCTAACTACTGTTCAGAATTAAATAGAAAATAACGTATTGATAGCCACATAGCATGAAAATAATTTATTATATATAACTCACATATTTGATATAAATTCAAACCCTAATGTAATAATATGTTTTTTTATGTCATGGGGGCACAAATTAATCTTGAATCTCAGTCTGCGTTCTTGAGTGGAAGAAATATTCTAGATGGGGTGTTAATAGCTAATAAGGTTGTTGATGGATGGAAGAAAGCCAAAAAGAAGGGGTTACTTATTCAGTTGGACTTTGAGAAGGCATATGACTCTATTAATTGGGGTTTTTTTGTTTTCAATGCTCTATAATTTTGGGTTTGGAGATAAATGGATTAAGTGGATCAAGGAGTGCGTAACAACTGCAAGGCTTTCAGTGCTTGTTAATGGAACTCCTACTGAAGAATTCAGCCCACAAAGAGGTCTAAAGCAAGGGGATCCTCTGTCCCCTTTTCTGTTTAATATAGCAGTTGAAGGTCTACATGTGTTATTGAGTCGAGCATCTCAGTTAGATCTAATCAAAGGTGTTAAGATAGGCCATGATGGTGTGTTGTTAACTCATCTCCAGTTTGCAGACGATTCATTATTATTCTGTGAAGCCGAGGTGGATGAAGTGAGGAAGTTGAAAAGGGTGCTAAGGTGCTTTGAAATTATGTCTGGCTTGAAAATAAACTTCCATAAGAGTGTTGTATGCGGTGTGGGTGTGTCTCAGGAGATGTTAGATGGTTTTGCTGCCGTATTGAACTGTAAATCTAAGTCATTGCCTCTAAAGTATCTTGGGATGCCATTAGGGGCTAATCCAAGGAAGAAAGCTACATGGAAACTAGTGTTGGAGAAAGTCAAAAGCAAGCTGGCTGGTTGGAAGAGAAAGTTGTTGTCCTTCGCAGGGAGGTTAACTCTTGTCAAATCGGTAACTTCAGCATTGCCAGTGTACTATTTATCTTTGTTTAAGATGCCTGAAGGGGTAGCCAGAGAGTTGGAGAAGATTCAAGCTACTTTCTTATGGGGTGGTTCTAAACGGGTAAAGAAAATCCATATGATTAAGTGGGAGGATTTATCTAAAAGAGTGGAGAAAGGTGGCTTGGGCATCAGGAAAATAAGAGATGTGAACAAGTGTTTGTTAATTAAATGGTGGTGGAGGTTTGGTAGTGAGAAGGATGCTTTGTGGAAGAGAGTAATTTGTAATAGATATAGGATGGAGGTTGATGGTTGGATTCCATCTCTAATTTCATCTAGCAGCCACTCGGCGGTATGGAAAGGTATTATTTCTATAGCTGATTAGAACAGTAGCTTGAAGGAGTTCTATTTGAATAATTTTTAATTGAAGGTTGGGGATGGGAGGAGGATAAGGTTTTGGTCTGATGCTTGGTGTCAGTCTGTCCGTTTGAAGGATGAATTTCCAATCTTGTATAGGTTGTCCTTAGAAAAAAAGGAATCCTTAAGTATTTTGGCTGATAAGAAAAGTACAGTGGGTGGCTGGTCCTTCGAATTTAGAAGGGGGTTATATGAGTGGGAGGAGCAGGAGCTGGTTAGGCTTCTTGTTTATCTGCAGGGGGCTCCTGCAGTATGTCCAGAGTGTACTGATCGGCCTACATGGTTAGCATCATCTTCTGGGGTACTAACAGTAGCAGATTTATATAGGTGGGGCGTGGATAATGCAGATACCACCATGAGTGTTACAAAATTGATTTGGCTTAAGTACATATAAGGTACAGGTTTTTGGTTGGTTTGCGTGGAAAAAAAGAATTAAGACTAAGGAATTTCTGCAAAAAGTGGGGGTGATCAACCCCATTGAGTCCATAGCTTGTGTGTTTTGTGGCAGTGGCAGTGAATCGGTGAACCATGTATTAATCTGGTGCCCCTTTGTGTGGATGGTTTGGGCTGAAATATTGGATTGGTGGGATGTCCAAGCTGCTATTCCAGGATCTGTGGAGAGTCTACTGCTGTGGTGGGCAGGGGGGAAGTTAAAGAAGAAAGAAAAGAAGATTTGGAGGGTGATTCCATTGGCTGTAATGTGGTCTATTTGGAAGTGCAGGAATGAGTGTGTGTTTAGAGCAACTCCCCCAATTCTGGAGGATCTTTGTGATTTAATTAAAAATAGGATTGCAGTTTGGTTAAAACCAGTTTTCAGTGAATTTAATTTTAAAGTTCAGGATTTTGTCTTTAATCTGAGGCAAATAAGGAAGTGCTTGGGGGGGTCTGCTACACTTACTTAGTGTTGATTGGTATGCTGGGTTGTTTTGGTGTGGTGGACCCTGGAGTTGTGTGCTGGTTCTGGTATTGTGTTGGCTGTTCTGCTCTGTTGGTGAAAGTGGTGTTTGCTAATGTGCTGTTCTGATCTGTACAGCAGTGTGTCCTATCTGTGGTGTTGCTGGTCCTATCTGTGGCTGCCTTGTGTGGGTGATGTCCTTCTGGTTAGATGTTATGCAGCATACCAGTCTGCGTGAAGGGTGGTCTGTTGTGGTGGTGCTGGTTAGGTGGTATGTAGCATATCAGTCTGGGTGTAGGGTGGTCTGTGGTGGTGGTGCTGGTTATGCTCTGCACTGTAGTTGAGTGTTGTGCCTTGGTCTGCAGTGGTAGTGTTAGTTTATCTTTGTTTGCCTTTTGGTAGCTGCTCTGCAGTGTTCGTGTTAGTCCTGTGTTCTTGTTGTTGGTTGGTTGCTCACCAGCTGGAGCTTGGAGCTTTTGTTAGCTCCAAGCTCCTCTTTATTGATGTTTTTGTATCGTTTTGTGCATGCGTTCATCAATAAAGATTTTTTTTTTTTGCCGATCAAAAAAAAAAAATTTGGGGGCAACTAATGTAATATTTTCTATTTAATTTTGAATAAAAGTTAGTTTTACAAGTAAACTAAGAAAAACTTGAAAAATAAAGGCCAAAGTGAAAAAATAAATAAATAAATAAATAATTCTAAGGGACAAAATAAAAAAATAATCAAATATAAAGGGGCAAAGTATAATTTAATTTGCCCCATATTGTTTTTAATGCATTTCTCTAACAACTTTCTTTATAGACTGACATTAGTGAAAAATGTAGGGCATGCTTGGATGTAAATTGTAACGCACCTGTTTAAGAACTCCATTCTATTACTTAGAGCATCTCCAACGGTGAATCAGATTTTTCATCAAATCTGAGTCAAAAATGGCTCATTTCACCAAATCTGGTACCAGATGCTCCAACGGTTCACCTTTCACCAAATCTGTCCTGGGTCGACCGGGTGGTCGACCGGTCGGTCGACCGGTGAGTGAAATTTTTTTTTTTTTTGAATTGTCTGAATTTTCTGATTTTTTTTCGGGACGACCGGGTGGTCGACCGGCCGGTTGACCGGTTAGGGAAATTTTTTTTTTTTTTTTAAACTGTTTGAACTTTTTTTTGAACTGTTTGAATCTTTTATTGGTTGACCGGTTGATATCACCCCAACGGTCAGTAACAGTGATTTGGTGAAATGCTTCGCATGTTCTCAGTTTGATGAAATATTTGGTGAAATCTCATTTTGATATCGATTTGGTGCAACCGTTGGAGCATCAAACAGTAACTTTTTCACCAAATTTTAAATTTGATGCTGGGTTTGATGAACCGTTAGAGATGGTCTTAAGTATGCGTGAAGGGAGCAAATACATTTTTGGACCACAATCATTTTTAAATGGGACATGCGTCTCACTCATTTTTAAGGAGAATTATTCAGTAATTCTGAAATATGGACACATAATATTTTATAGTATTGTGATTAGTAAAAAAGGTAGATAGGTAGGGTATATTATATTGGGTGATTGAGAAACATGAGAGAACGTATTAAATAAGGATTAATTAGGAAATATAGACACGTGATACTCCGAAAATATTAAATAATTTCCCAACCGTTAAATGTACATCATACAATTTTAAATCTGACATGTTTTCATAGTCCATCGTATTTATGTGTGTGTGAGAGCATGTGTTTAATATGTTTTTGTGCTGCAGTTCGTTAAGGAATCTATGCCATTATCTTTTTGGGCTCCCTATAACAAGGATGGCCTGACCGCAGACGAAGTCTTTATGAACACACACAGTGATCTGGTGAAAGATGACATACAGTGGCTAATGAAAACCTCAGACTCATGCACTATTGTCACGGCTCTCATTGCAACGGTGGCCTTTGCGACGTCAGCCAGCGTACCCGGTGGTGTTAATGGACAAAACGGTGAACCAGTTCTCAGACAAGAACGCATGTTTGACGTCTTTTCCATCTCATCACTCTTTGCGCTCTGCTTTTCATTGATAGCATTGATCACATTCCTCGCCATTCTCACAACTCAACACCAAGCCATGGACTTTCGTCGTAAGGTGCCAATGTTGCTATTGATGGGTTTGACTACGCTCTTTATGTCCATTGCATCCATGGTGGTATCGTTTTGCGGCGGACATTTCTTCATCCTCAAAGGTGTACTGAGAGACGCGTCGGTTGTTGAATATTTAGTTGCGCTTCTACCATTGATCATTTTTGTCACTGTGCAATTTCCGCTCTACTTCAATGTTTTACGAGCTACCATTACGAAGGTGCCTGAACGTCACTACGTGGTTACTACCTAGATCTTTATTTGTTATATATATTACTTATTATTTCACACGTGTGTGTAACTGTGTTTGTGTTTGTGTTTGTGATTTCTATCCTTGAGTTTGGTATTGATGAATAAACATTGAAGTCAGTCATCGTCTTCACGTGTCTTTGTGTGTTGTTTGTTTCTTATATGAGTGTGAAAGGCAGGCGAGGCAATAAAAAATTGTAATAATGTAACCTCTTTATTTTCATGAAAAGTATGGACTACTGATCATGTCGGTATTTATTGAGTGGGTGGTTTGCTATTGTTTTTTCTGATCCGGATCTACGAAGATTAATTTTGGAATCTCTTTACTTTGCCGTGTTGTGGTCTTTGTGGGCTATCAGGAAATTCATTGGTTTTTATCTAGTTTGGTAGTGTTTTGGATCTACAACTTGACTTGTTTGTATTAATTGATATTCGTTATCTTACACTTACATTGTTTTCGGATTTTTAGAAATGATAGGTTTGCATTTGACCTTTGATTATTATAATTGAGACATCTTCTAGATGTTTAAAATCTTAATTGAGGTGTTAGCATGATCGTTGGACAGATTGGATCAAAACTCCAAATTAAGATAATTATTTTTTTCAGTAGATTTCACTCTTTTGCATTTTTCTCTCTCTATACTTTGAATTTTGATGTAAAACTAGAATCATTAGAAAACTTATTCCCGGGCTTCAACTTAAATACAAGAACTGTTCAAAACGGAATTTGGATAAGAGAGTCATGTTTATTTCAAGTTTGGACACCAAAGTTGTTAACATAGTCTATTCGAGCGAACTTTTGACTGCTCAAGCAATCCATAGACCTAGACAACTTTGATTTCATAACACAAAGAATCTTGCAAGCATCCATTCAACGCTTGAGTGAACCTTTGACCACTCGAGCAATCTAAACGACTTTAGCATTCAAATATGGCGTTTGGTAGAGTTTTAAAATTATTATTTGAATGTGGAGTTGTGTTTTGAGTTTGTGAGTATTTGAATTATGATTTGAGAAGAGAAAATTTATTTTGATATGAGTTTTGAGTAGAATTTTGAATTGAGTGTTAAATTTTTTATGTGACATATGAAATAAGAAAAGTTGTTTGGTTATGAGTATTGAAAAAAGTTTTCAAAACTTAATTCCAAAAGTTATAATTCGTAACCAAACACACAACTCAAAACTCTATTGAAATTCTGTTCAAAATTCATAACCAAACTCTTTTTAAAATTCAATTAAGAAAATTAATTATTGAAAAACTCACATAAATTTTTTTTTATTGAAAATATTACAACAAAAAATTATTTTCTTTTTTCAAAATAAATATGTAATTTTTGATTGTATATTTGGTTGGAATTTTTTTTTTTTTTAACTTTTTTTGTTTGAAAATGTTTTTTTTTAATTTTTCCGTCATTTGTTGTTCCCATTGAATGAGTTGATTATAATGTTCTTGCTACATTGCCAAAAAGTTTGTCCAATAAGCAGGAGGTTGTTGCTGTGGTTATGGCATTGCAACTTCAGGATGATGTTGAGGATCATCCATGGGAACATCAGGAGCAGCCATGCTCGCAAAGAAAACATCACCTCCTCCAGCTCGATTTATTGTGTACTCACTAATGTCAGAGGCAATATGAGTTTCGGGCTCATTGTCAAATCTAACTTTGAAGTGTTTCAAGATTTTCGTCAACAGTGTTCGAAATGCTAAAGATTTGTCTCGCGTAGATGGGACAATAGTCATTTCTCGCATAATAATATAGCACAAATCAATAGATAGACCAACCTCAAAACAATAGAGTAGGTAAGCATTAAAAGCGGGGACAGCATCGTAGTGGCCTGCTTTCGGAGTTATATTCTCCACTAAAACACAATGAAGAATGCGAAGATGTGGTTTCAAGTTTTTGGCAAGTAGATTTGACTCTGTAGTTTTGGAAATGCATATAGTCGAATAAACTTCAGTGACATTGCCCGCAATTTGAGCCATTTGTTGCTCCGTTTCAAAATATATTTGGTTATTGCTTTGTTCAACATCCAGAATAGAAGCCAATGTTGGAACAGTAAACGAAATGAATTTGCCTTTCACATAAGACTGAACAGTGTACTTGTCTTCTTCGGCATTTGACTGTTTGAGATGCAAATAAAATAGGACAAGAAGACGGGGATATACCTTTCTAGGATAATTTACCAAGTTTGCTCATCACATGGCTCCAAGTCTATTGATCAACAAGGCATCATATTTTGGTGCAAGGTTTACTCTTTGACCAGTAATTATTGAACAGGAAGACATACTACCAAATTCAAATTCTTGGTGTTGTGAAAGGAAGTCAATTGACGAATATTGTCGTTCTTGATTTGATGACTCTCCAACCTCTCGGCCTCGTGGTTTCTTGGTGCGAGGAGCCATCACTTTCTGGAAGTAAGAAAAAAATAGAGCAACATATTAAAATATATATATATTGAGAGGGTAATTTTTGGGAAAGAATTGGGCCGAGCTGTGAGTTGGGCCCTGCGGCCCAAAGTGTGAAGGAATCGATAAAAAGCCGTAGTGTAACTTCGGCCCATAGAGGTGAGATTACTCCGGCTCAGAGAAGAAATAGTTACTTCGGCCTAAGGAAGAATAAAGCTACTCCGGTCGGAGGCAACTTGGAGTTAGGCCGGTCTCAGAATTAGTCCGGTCGCGATATGTACAGGGAAGGCTGGTTTCGGGATTAGTCCGGTCGTCACATACTATGGTTAGGTCGGTCAGAACTTGTTACTGGGAAGGTTGACCTAAGCACATCAAGGTTGAACAAGGGCAGCCGAAGTAATGAGTTAGAGGAGAAGACCGAGCTAAGGATAGTTCGGCCTTCTATGTGGCTCAGCAGAGCCAGTGTTATTTCGGTCATATTATAGTTCGGCCATGAAGAAAACCATCCCACTTGGTTTAAGCAGTGGGGAGGGTGTAAAAGGATAAGCATTATCCTTAGGAGAATGAATCCTAGGAGGACTCTGCATGGAGAAATACAAGTCCTACTAGGATTGTGCCGCGGGAAACTTATAAAAGCTCACAAGCATCACCTTGGAGGAGGTAATTGAACACAATCTTTCTGAGAACTTAGAGCTTTGTCTATTTGTCAAGTTTTCTGACTTAGGCATCGGAGAGGTTTCCGGCACACACCCGCCGGCTAGCTCACGTTTGTGTTTTCAGGTGACAAAGCGACGTCGTACGGAGGAGCGTGGACTTGGTCAACAGGATTATACGAGGAGAATTATTTCCTCCCCGTACATATATATATATTGATAAATTTTTAAATATGTGGAGATGGGTTAAGATAAATTTGTGAGGCATGAGCATAACAAACAATATTCATTTTTAACAATAACATGGAAGTATTGCATGTATTGAAAAATAAAATTAAGGAGACAAACAGAAGCATATACAGATGATATATTTATTCAAACATCATAATACCTTGCACCAAGATCAGAATATTTTCAAACTTACCTGAATAAACAACACGAATTGAGATATTTGAGATATTTGTTCAGTTTGTTTGGTATTTGCACACTGCTTCACTTCGTCACCAAGGGATGAGCTTCTATGGAATTAATCAACCAAGTGCTACACCTTTTAAATTGCAAAATAAGAGAGAGTTTGGTGACCTCATTAAATACAATTTGATGTGGGGTTTTTCAAGCTTGCAAAATGGGGTAAATGGTGGTGCGAAGAAGGTAGGTGTGTTTTACTGCTCAATTATTTTTTTATCCTTTAACTGAACTGTTATTATTTATTTGTTTAATTCGTTGCAGACAATTTCGGCCATAGCATGTCACCCACCAACAAAAAAAAAAATTCTAACATTTTTTACAATTAATAACATGTTATTAATATTATGTTGTGAAAAATAATTGAAAAGTAACTTGATTTCTTCGCATCACAAATCTACCCATGGTCAATATGATTTTCCCACATAGCATTAGCAATTGTGTTCCTTAAGTTTGATTGGTATGTGAACCCATGTTGTGACATGTCCACATACTCAGCTTGGCCTCCACCAAACCCCTCTACTGTCGCTTCAACCGCCATTTCATTATCAACTTCCATGAAGAATTGGTTCATAGCTGTATGCAAACGGATCCAAATGTGCATTATACAACATGCAATCACGATGGGTCCTTGTCATGTTGACTTGTAGTTAGGCATGGACCGCAATATTGGAAAGCGTTTCTTCAGTACCCCAAATGTTCTTTCTATGACATTCCGTAATGACGAATGTTAGTAGTTAAACAATTCCTTGGGTCCAGAATAATAACAACCATGGAACTCTTGCAAGTGATAGCATTGTGAATGAAATGGAACAAGAAATCCTGGCATGTTTGTGAGCCCAGGATCCACTAAATAATACTTGCCTACATGTAAATAATGCTTGTAATGCTCTGTCAAATACATGTACACAAATATCTTATTTTAAAAAGTATAGTATGTTATTTTTTAACGCTGACCATGGGGTGGGTGTGGGAAATGTACATCATCTCTTGTAATTGAGTCAACTAAAATTGCATTATCGTGGGCACTTCCTGCCCATCTAGAATTGATAAATGTGAACAACATGTCGAAGTCGCAAGCTGCGAGTACATTTTATAGCAATTCTAGTTTGAGACCAGACTCGTTTGATATTCTGGTTCAGGTTTCTTGGTTTTGTATTGTTGTTGTTGTCTTATTCCTCTTTTCCCTCCTTGAGTTTGGCTATTGAGATGTGTTGGTTGTGTTTGGAATAGGTTGGTACCTTGTTTTTCAAAAACCTTGTTGCCAGAATTTTGTTCCTACGCTCGAGCGGGTTTTGTGAACTCTCAATACTTTTGCAAGTCTGCAAAACTACTAGGACTTGTTATTCTTCGCTTGAGCGAAGCTTCTTGCCCTTGAGCATCCCTTTTTACGCTCGAGCATTGGCCTTATGTCTTTAAAACTACTAGGAGTGTGTATTCTACGCTCGAGCGTCACTTCTTGCGCTCGAGCGGTAATTATTTTTGTGTCTGGTGCTCGAGTGTCACTTTTAGCGCTTAAGCGGACTGTGTGTATATCAATTCATAAAAGTCATTTTTTACATTATTTTTTCATCTCTCTCTCTCTCTCTCTCTAAACATTTCAAAACCCTAAATCTAGAGCTCGTCTCTCTAGAACTTACTCTCTCTCTCTACAAATACACCAAGATCTACACATTTCTCCACCCTACTCCCTTTGTTAAAAAGGTAGAACTCACCTAGAGCTTCATTTTCATCCGAATAGAGTTGGGTTTCGTCTTCATCCAAGTTTCATTCATGCTTTTCTCGTCTTCTAACTTTGAAGTAGGGATTCTCTACAC